ACGGAGAGCGCTCCTCCTGTTTGCCTCTCCGTCTTCGTATTCGTCTTTATTGTGCGCTTTCACTACTTTCAGTATTACACGATAACTGGCATACCCAAATCTGCGCATTTGCGCTGGAAATTTGCGCATAGCGTTTCGCTTTCTGTCTTTGTGTTTTACGGCGTAAAACCTCAGTATGGATCAGAACCAACTATCACTGCCTACAGTCTTACAAAAACAAAAGCTTAAAATTTCCGAGTATGATTGCGTAACGTAAAATGAATATAGATAGAGGTTGATAATATCAAGGACGTGCTTTTGTTGAACGTGTTCATGTCAAATATCTTTCATATTTTTTGTAAAATATGCACATTGTCGCCGACACTTCTTCCTCATGAAGAAGTGTCGGCAACCTTGTATACTTTTTTACCGAAATGTAAAAAAAGGAACCCGTACCGTCATTTTATGAATAACATTGAAACACCCAACAACGGAACTTCCCCAGGCAGCACACAAAATTGGGGCAATATTCGCCTCGGGTCGGGAAAGTCGTGTGAGTACTGCCGATTTTTCTGTTGTATCGGAAAATTTGTGCTGGTACAATATTGATACAGCGGATGTCGACGAAGTATCTGTTATATTGAGGCGACGCAACCATGATATATATGGTACACGAAACCGTGCTTTTCTCTGAATATCGTTTTTGAATCGGCAATCACTGCGCAGTATTAGGCATTTTCAGTCGATTCGAAAATGATATCGAAAAAAAGCCGGTACCATTTTGACCCTGCCGATGTCCACAGAATATGTTATATTGCACCGACACAATCCTGATATATAGTTTACGCGAACTGGGTAACCAGCATTGACACCGAATATTGTTTATTTTCTTCCTCCCAAAAAGAGACATTGGAAAGGGAGAGGAGAAAGACGGGACGACACGAGCGAGAGAGGAGACATAATAAGAGGGAGAGGGAACCCAACCTTTTTAGTTCAACGAATTCCGAAACTACAGAGACGTAACCTCACGTGACCAGACTCCCTGGCGCCTTGGAAAGCCAACTTGGAAACGGGGTGGGGGAGAGACGGTGTTGAACGGGTTTCACCTCTCCTGATCACGTGTTGTTTACGCGTTTCGCCCGCGCGCTGACTAATGGTATTTCTTTGTCTCTGGTCTCTCTCGTGTGTGGTTCTTTTGAGACTTGTTTCCTTCTTCCCGTCGTCACCGCAGTCTCGGATAGTTTTTTTTTTGTGTTCGCTTGATACTACGGCATTTACGTGCATTCGCGGAACAAGTCCTGCTACGGTTTGAGTGACATGTGTGGCAACTAGTCAATAATGACACTGGTCATTATCGATAGAACCCTCTATCGACCAAGAGACCTATTGGAGTTCGTGTTCAAATGTTTTCTGGGCGGATAGAGCGGGACATATGGATACGTTCGTCAGGTGAGAAACAACTTATATACGGGTTTTCTTGGTCATGTAGGACGCGAGTAAAGTGCTGAAGTAGATTTTTTTAAGATCTCGTGATAGAATAAATTCTTGTTTCTTATAATGATTAAAAAGAGCAACAAGACGACGGACACAGAAGGAGACACAGACACAGCGCTATCAGTTGTAGCAGAGAACACTCTCAAGACGTTAAAGAATAAAATAGGCAGGGAACGGAAGTACAGAGAAAGAAAAAAGAGAAACCAGTGGTCATACCATACCTACATAAAGGGTCCCATAACCTGAAAAGAGTGGGCTTGCACGCAGGAGTTAACGTTGTTTTTAGAGCACCTGTCAAGTTGGCTAGTTTATGTAACAAGGTAAATTTCACCTCGAACACCATAAGCAGACCCGGCTGCACGAAAAAGCACGAAACTTGCTTTGTCGAGTGAACAGAAGAGGTTGTGTACTCCGTGCCGTTATCGTGCTGGCGTCATTGTGTGGGGCAGACTGGTCGCTGCCTAAATGAAAGATTGAGGGAACACCGTTAGAAACGTCGATGCCGTCATATCAGGACACCTCGGTGTGCATCGCCGGGATTGTGGTTGTACTCCAATTTTCACAGATTGTACTTTACTAAACAAAAACAGAAGCAAAACCATAAGGGAAATACTCGAGGCTCGAGAAATTGCTAGGTTAGGGCTGCAATGTGTCAGGGCAGGGCCGTACCCAGAAAAAAATTTCGGGGGGGGGGGGGGTTTTCGGGGACAACGGCGGCCATTTTGAAAGTGTCTATTGTCTTATTTTCGCCTATGAATCATGTGCATCGGTGGCATATAATGGAGAGTTACAGCAAACCGGAGAACCGGTCCCGGTTTGGTACCCGGTAGCCGACCGCCGCCACTGCGCGTGCGCAGAGGTGGAGATTAAAATCGGCTGGCTGCCAGTGCACCGACCAGGGCCGTACCCAGAAAAAAATTTCGGGGGGGGGGGGTCAAAACCCCCTATCCCCCCCCCCCCCCCCCCCCCTGGTTACGGCCCTGTGTCAGGGCACCCTATTTATCGTTATCCAAAAAAGAATTGCAGTTTCTTGACTAAGCATGACTCGTTTCGGGTGGGTGCCGATGAGTGATGCATTAACTTTAGCCTTTTTATGTTTTTTTTTAAAGATTTTTACTATGTGTATTTTATATCTGCCTAACTTGTTCGTGTAGTTGCCGGTAATATATAACGAGCTGCAGCGGAAATAAAGTTCAGTTGTAAGTAGCGCTGTGTCTGTGTGTCCTTCTGTGTCCGTCGTCTTGTTGCACTTTTTATTCATTATTAATCACCAACTTGCTCAATTTTCTACCCTCTTCTTGTTTTTCGTCGTTATCCGTGTGCTGTTACGTCGAAATTTGTAAACATGCATGGTCATATTCTAGTTTTTACTGAAAGGCGAATAACAAGTTTGTGTAATTATTGAAAGTGCGTTGTTTGTGCTTATGTGTTTATTTAAACTAATGTTATTTTTGTTGCCTTTACCTCGTTTATACTACAATTGTAACTGTATTAATGTAATAGTATTATTGTATACAAAATAAGTTATATTTTGTTCTAAGGCAACTCGAGCCCATAGGGAGAAGTAAATTAGGTGACTAAATAGTAAGTTTAGTACGCCTGCCACACGAGCCTCTCATCGTGCCTAATGAGAGCCTCGCTGGCAAAATCATGCCACCATGTCGCGGATGAAAGCTTCCTCGCACAGGTGAATCGTCTAAAACTCGGAGGGTACTTGGTCGCTTCTTAGGGGTAGTAGCGGATAACCTTGTTTCCAAGATGAAGAAAAAGATGACGACCATATTCCTTCCAGACAACTAACAAGACCGGCGGTGATTCCTTACATTCAGAATCTATCTCACAATCTTAAAAAAGTGGTGGCTCATTTTGAAGTGTCAGTGGTGTTTTCAGCGCCAAACAAGCTGACTCATCCATCTTCAAAGATAAACAACGAAAAGGGAAAGGGTAAAGTGTGTCAAAAGAAACACGCTAACCAATACGTGGAGTGTGCAACGTCAGTGGTATAAAACACACCAATGAGTTGCGGGAAATCGTTATTTGGGCCAAACTGGGCGTTCTGAGAGGGTCAGGCAACATGCCAGGTCGATCAAACAGTCCCCGTCGGGCAATCTTGCGGTGCGTTGTGATAGATGCCCATGTGGCCCGGAATTGGAAAAAGAAATACGGTTCTGAGCAGATACGCAAACAAAACAGCGCCAGAAATACATGAGGCATTCCGCATAAGAGAGCGAGGGGAGAGTCTTTGTATTAGTGCGCCGCCACGGCACTTAACAGATGCAGATTTTTTTCTTTTTGAGCCAACTCCCAGATAGACGATATTAATGGTCAATGTTTGTTTCAATAAACCTTCAGCTGAGAGTGCACTTCGCCTCCGTCCCCTTCTTCGTCCTTGTTTATTCGGCGCTTTCCATTCAGTGATGTACCAACTAGACTTCGTTTCAGCTTCGGTCCGAGCGCGGCCGATGTTATGAGCCAAAGGGCCAATCAAACAGCGCACAAAGCGCACCGTCATGGCGTGTTCTCTGCGCTTGATAGGACTAGCCGGCGGAGGAGCGCGCACAGTGAGGCGGCGAATAGCGGCTGGTCCTATCAACTGCAGAGAGCACGCCATGACGTTGTGCCTCTTTCGCTGTTTGATTGGCCATTCGGCTAATAACACTGGCCGCGCTCGGACCGAAGCTGAAACGAAGTACAGCCAATTTATTTAGTTTACTAAAGATCACGTGGTTGGGCCCCTCGTGGGCCTACTGTGGACCTACGCGAGCAGCCGACATGAGGCACCCCGCGTGAGCCTAATCACGTTCGGCGTTATTACATCATTTCCTTCCGGCTTGGGGTATTGCCCAGACGCCGCACAGACATCCTAAGGACATCCTAGGAATGTCCAGTCCGGGATTTTGGGAAGTCCCAGGGATGTCCCAAAGAAGGCCGAAAAACATCCCAAGTGATACAAAAAAAGACTTATCCGGGATGTCCCAAACTATGCAGTGTTGGGACTTCATTGGGATATTTATTTTGCAGGCTCTCTTTTGCTACTCGTACCAGATTTATCTGGAGGCCACCATTGCTGTCTGGCCAATTTTAAAGGCTCGATGGCAAACACATACACAAATGCTTTAGCCAAACTGTTGCTGCGCCACTAAACACTGAATTCAGTGTTTAGTGGCGCAGCAACAGTTTGGCTAAAGCGTCCCCAAGTGCTTCCTGTTGCAAAAGCTGGTTCTTTAATCAATATTGTATACAAAAAGGTAATCGACTCAGAGCAAATGCATGATTGAGCACAATACCAACTGGTACACCTGTTTTTGACCGGTCAAGTTCTCAGGGTGTCATGGCTCTTTGAAAACTGTCGAAGGAAAAATAACTGCTTGAAATTCCACCATGCAAATGTGCCAGAGGACGAGCTATTGCAGAACTTTTTTTCAATGTAAATATATAAGGATGAGGACTTGAAAAAATGTGTACAAAAAAAAAACAGTTTTATTATGCCACCAGATCCTGTCTAGGCATAAAAATGGTTACAGTGTTTAGTCCGCGCCAGCATCACCTGCTGTTGGGCTCCTTGTTGCAGCCAAGGCTGTGTCCTCTCCTGCTGCCCGTTCTGTTGCATGGCGGAACCACGACATGCCGGCCTTCTCAATATCCTTTAGCGTGGCTTGCTTGATATTCTCTGCGACCGAGCCGTCGCAGTCGACCAGGGTGCCTGCATACAATTAAAAAGTACTCTTGTTAGTAAGCCAGGTGACTGCAGACCCAAAAATATGGGATGCCTGCTTTGTGCGCAAGCAACAAGCTGCTGTCTTATATGGCAACAGCTGGTGGCCCTGCAGCCCACGACAACCACCACCGAGCTTGCCACCAACCACTTCCATTACTGTGCACGCTGCCACGGCAGGAGTGCACCGCCTCTACTTGGCAGCCTGCTGTACACTCAATGCATGATGAACCTAAATGTGAACGAGCATGCATTGAGAACAATACGTGAAGGACTAGCCTAAGTCAGCAATGCATCCCGGCAGCTCCACGTTCGTCCTAAGCTCTACTAAGAGCTGCGTATGGGTCTGCTGTGTCAGCTTGATGCTGTTCATGACGCACAGTATTCTTTCCATGAAGGCTGAAAAAAGAACGGACATTCGGCTAAAAGCCATGCGCTTCATTCAATACCAATTTACATGCATTGTCAGTACACTTAAGCAGACCAAGACTGTTTTCATGTCCTTTCTACGATTTTAGGGCATAACATACAAGGGCTGCACATATTGTCTGTTCCCAAAATCTGTGACAAAAACAGCAGGCAAGAGACCTAAAAAGCACCATTATATTGGTTGCATACCAAGCACTTGTGGATCCATCTGAGATGTTGCATGCCCAGGAGGCAGAGTTGTTCGGGTCACGGGCGCAGCTGAAATAGAAAACAAGTGAAATTTTGCTAAGCTTCAAGCTGTGCGATGTAAGCCTGGAGGCACCATGGCAACATGCAGGGAAACTGCTCCAGAACATGCAAATTGGCGACGTGGAAATTGGGAAGACACCAGTAAATTTATTTTATTATTCATTTATTTATACTACCGGCCGCCCCACGGCGGCCGGTAATATAAATAAATAGAAAATTCTCTTCTTTTATAAGTGAAGAATTGCATACCACACTCTTGTGTAGGGAGCTGTACTGCAGTGTTCTCGGCTTGTTTCGATCGCCGTGGAGTACTGCCATGTGGGCCGACACACCATTTGAACGTTAAGCAGCGGTGACACTTCGGTAAGATAAAAATGGGTGCAAGCAATATTCATTAAATAGCTGAAAGGCTGAACTTACTGCTACGCTGGAGGCTCATGTGCCGGCTTCCACGATCAGTGGATGGTGCATGTACTGGGCTGATATCATCTAAAGATGATCATACATATTAGCCAAAACACTTCACTTTTTACATGGTATCTTTTTTTAAATGTGTCTAAAGTTACCTTGCTGTGGCACCCATCTCCCTGAGAAGGCTGCAGCTGTGCTTTCCAAAGAAGCTGCAAGCAATATAATAGGCTTTCATAACAGTAACAAGCACAGACCTGCCACTTGCCATGCCATTTTTTTGAAGTAATAAGCACAGAAAAAGGAGCGGGTGTCGTGATGCTGTGAAGGTGTTTGAGTGTTGGCAAAACACAGCTAGAGCATAAATAAGCAATGAAAAAGGAGAAGGGAGGAACTATGGTAAAGACTGCTTGCAGCTCCCAAAGACACACCAGCTTTCAGACTGCTACCAGGGGACCTCCAGCTTTCAAGTGCAGCTGTAGGACTGACAGATGCAGCTGGAATGGAAAAGAAAAATTGTTGTGCTGGCTTACGCCATGCCAAAAGAGAAAAATTAAAGCAATCAAAATTAAGCCTTCATTTTTACTGCTGCCGGATACTCAGTTTTGCAGGAAGAGGTATTAAAGCTGGCTCATAGTGGGGCAATAGTAAATAAATGCAAGTCACAATTTGCTGTACATTTGCAAGCCAAGTGCTAGACACTAGAATAGAAACTTGTGCACACAGTCACAAGGTCTGTATGGTTTAGTAGAGCTAGTCCCCCCCGGGTGCTGCAAATTAAGTGCTAGTGCCTTTAGACGCCATTTCACTGATGCCATTCGTAAATGGGAACCAAAAATGCCATATACCGTGGCAAACATATCTTAAACAATGCATAACGCACCTGCTGTCATCACTTCTTGTGCTCTGGTTGCCCTGGATGACAGTGCATAAACAGATGTTATGTTCGATCCATCTGAAATTCAAAGCCAGTTTAGCACAATCCGATCAGACAGCGTTCTTGCAGTCACACTTAAAGTAGCTCACCAGCATTGCAGAATATTCTTGTTTGCCAAAACAAAAAAAGTTTTCATACCAGCATGTTTCTGCATCTGTGGTGGCGTTGGTGGCCTTGGTGGCAGGTAATCGCCATCGCTGCCTGTACTGTTGGAGCTGCCGCCTTGATCACTCTCATAATCTGACGGAAGAGCACAGCGCCTTTTTCTTTTGCCTCGTCCCAGCTCCTTCTCACTGTTTAAATCTGAGCCGTATTCAAGCACCCCCATTTTCTCCTGTGCCATCTCATAGTCATCTGAAAAAAAAAATATTGCCATGACAACGGTAAAATACTTAACACGAGTATGCAGCCTTTCCAGTCCAAAACCTTACTACACATCTTGCTTGGCTCCAATCAGGTGATGGTGTGGCTCCTTCTATGACCATTCGCCGGTGCTTATTTGGGTTCTTTACTTGAGGCCAGAATGTTCTGTCATATCTGGCACTCAGCCACGACCTGTGGACAACCGCCAGGGTGTTTTTCTCGTAGGGGAATACAACTACAGCAAACTTCTCACCTAAAAAAAAAGTAAAAATGGACAGTATGTTGATAAACAGCGCATAAATAGCACTTGGGAAAAAGGCCTACACAGTGAAACTGTTTTTTTTAATTTTTTGTTTGCCATATTTTGGACAAAAAGGGCGCGATTGAGCGGAGAATGGCGACGTGGCCATTCTCCGGGAGCGGTTAAGTATGAGAGAAACCGGCCGTCCTTGCGCAGCCGAATGCCCGTCAGAAGACGGGCATCCGGCTGCGCAGGCTGGCTGACATGAAAGGCGCACACACGATTCAGGAGCCACCTCCACTGCAGAGCACAAAGTCGAACCTCCCGGTGACAGTTCGCATTCCGACATGGAAGGCGCACCGGAATTTTCGGCTAAACACGAACTTCCTTCGCCAGCTGACAGTATTACGTTCATGTCGTCTTGCACTGCGCGGCGCACCCGCCGAAAGGCCGTCATTCTTGACAGGTCGGCCATCTTCGATAGTCGGCCGATCGTGCCACTGGCGCGAACGCTCTAGCGCGACATTGAAGCGAAATGTGAAGCAGCGTGGTCAGCCAGCGTCAGTGCGCCACTTTTAAAAGAATATATTGGCCGTTGCAACACTCACTGCCACAAGCCATGCTCGCCATGAAAAGCGCGGGATCCACTTCTGGGCAGTCTTCCGGTCCCGCCGACCAGCACTAGCAGGGGAACAAAGACGACGCCAAAACAGAATGTTCATCAATGACCACGTTGGTGTCGAAGCAATAACAAATAAGGTAGAGACAAAACAAAAAACAACAATTACCTCGAAAATGCGTGCTCCAAAGCGCGAGACTTCCCGATTCCCGCTGCAAACTCACATTCAAGCCATTCTTCATGCATTCAAGCAAGCACGCCAAGCACGTCTAGCATCAGCGAAAATGGCGCCAAACCGAAGCCAAAAATTGGTGATGATAGCATCGCAGTTTTGAAATATAAGGTTAAAATGAATAAATATCACACAAAACGATTTTTACTTACATATATAATAAAAAATACTGATTTACAAGCATTTACAATATTTTATTAACATTGAAAAATGAAAACGAAACTCAATTCACTGGCGCGGGTTTTCTGGGCATCTGCTGCGGGTGTTGCGAGCAAATCATGATTCGGTGTCTCAAATCGGCCGGTGTGTTTCAGATTTTTTAAACTACAATTTTGCACCGTACGAAATTTGACATTTTGGTCTCGCGGTAACCGGCGTTCAAAAGTGTCTCCTTTCTGTTCGTGTACTTGTTTCCTTTAGGAAGATGCAGAAATGTTTACATGCAAATGTTTACGCACGTGGGCAAGTGCACGCGCACCAACACCACTGACGTCCCGATCACCCATATTCCGGGACATGTTATGGATGACCCCTTAAAGGACGTCTCTAGGACGTCCCCTGGAGCTCCCTCTTTGGATGTGGGACGTTAGGACATTTTCGGGACGTCCCTGGGATGTTTGGTGTTGTCTGGGTGCAGTGGATTCCAAATTCAGCATGCTTCACGCTCCTCGTGTGGCTAAAAAACAAATTGCCGTTTTCATACATTTTGATTGCATGATACTTTCACGATGTCCCAAGGCGGAAATCTAGGAACCACTTTTTTGGACGCGGTAAACACAAAAGTCGGAGACGCGTTCCAGGTAGTGATGGGACGAATCACCAGAGATTTGGATTCGGACAGATTCGGAAATTTCCGAACTTCCCGCGACGAATATTCGGCAGATTCGGAGATTCGTCAGGTTCGTCGCTGGTTGCAGACGGCGGCGTGGACACTTTCGTAAACCTCGCGAACGCGATCAGCTGTTTTTTTTTAGGTACTGTTACTGCATATAACAAGATTTCTCTTATTTACTTCAACGTATGGTATGTACTGCACTCTTACTCTAAACCCTGGCAGGCGTCCAGGTCCAGCTGAGCTGATCGGTGTGGTTGGCGTAGGCCTAACCAATGCAAAGTTTCCCGGTGATCGCTAAAGTAAAATGTTGCAAAATGCTGTGTGTTATACATAATGTGGCGCAACGCGCAATAAATATATTTATGCAAGGAAATGATTCGTCTCCTATAGAGCTGCGTAAGACGCGAGAGCGAAGAAAAGTGTTGCTCATCCCAACTTTCGACCGCGTACCGACACCGACGAAGAAAAACGTCGCACTGGCGTTTCTCCGTCCTCAGCAGCAAGTTTTGTATACGTTGTAGAGGGCGCAACCCTCGCGTACTTGATTGCCGCAGGCAACCCTGTGCCACCGCGAGGGCGGCTTCGTGTGTTATTTTTAACGGAATAAAAGTCACTTGTTGTTCTGGCACGAGAGAGTTCGCACGAACCTTCTTCTGGCCCGGCATGGCCTCCACATGGTGTCAGAAGTGCCAAACGTTATGCCTAACGACGTAGGCCTTGCCTCCGCATGAATCGTCTCCGCCGTAACTGCGTAGCTCGCTCGCCCGTCGCCCGGCTTTCGACCGCCGTGTTCCTGCTCGCTGCCGTCCTGCTCGCTGCCATGCCTGACGACGAAGGAAACGGCGCCAAGCCTTCATGGCAAGGTCTTTCACTGCATCAGCCCGACCGCTTCGACTTCGAGAACGCCGGTTCCTGGCCGACGTGGCTAAGCCTTTTCGAGGACTACGCCTTCGCTTCCGGTCTTCGACAGGCGTCGGGAGAAGTTCAGGTCCGCACACTTCTTTATTGCATGGGGCCGGAAGCTCGTCCTCTTCTTGCGACGTTCGGCCTCGGCGACGCTCCTACGGACTACAACGTGGTCGTAGAGAAGTTTACGGCCCATTTCGTTCACCCCCTCAACGAGGTGTACGAGTCGGCGCAGTTTCACCGGCGAGTCCAGCAGCCGGGGGAAACGGTGGACAGCTACTATGCGGAACTCTGCAAGAGATGCAAGAGATGCAACTACCCGTCACCCGAGGTCGTGGAACGCCTTGTCCGCGACCGGTTCATCGTAGGCTTACGCGACGCTCGCCTCGCCGACCAGCTCTGCCGCAACCCCAAGTTAACCCTCAAAGAAGCATGGGTGCAGGCGAGACAAGCAGAAGACGCCCAAAAGCAGAGGGACCAGCTGGCAGGCCACGACACGCAGTCTCGACCGGTGAGCCTCGACGCTGCCAAGTCTCGGCAGCCACAAGCGGGACGCGTCAAGTACAGCTCAGCACGCGACAAGCGCACCTCAAGCTCTAGCTCGTGCGGCTACTGCGGCCGTGCTTCACACGCTCGCTCGGAATGCCCCGCCCGCAACTCGTTGTGCAACCACTGCAAGAAAAAAGGCCATTTCGCGGACGTCTGCCGTTCCCGGAAGAAACGGTCGACCCAGGTGGCAGAGCTGGGTTTGTACGCCGTTCGCAACTCCGACCAAGGCAAGTTTGTGGAAGTAACTGTCAACGACTACACGGAAGTGTTCAAGGTTGACTCGGGAGCCGAAGTTTCAGCCGTCTCGAACACCTTCCCCAACCTGCCGCCGTCCCTCGACAAGGTGTACGACACTCTCTTCGGGCCAGGGCAGCAGCCACTCAACGTTCTTGGGTCCTTCATGGCCACTTTGCTGTGGAGAGGCAAGTCAACCCAGCAAAGACTATATGTGGTGAAATCCCTCTCCGTGCCTCTTTTGGGCTTTCCAGCCATTCAGGCACTTCAAGTCGTCAAATTCGTCAACGGCGTCTCATCGAAAGAAAAGAACCCTCCTACCGTCAAAGTCTCTTCTCAGACTTGTGACAAGCTGTTTAATGGCCTCGGATCTCTCTCTGAAGAATACAAGATCCGCCTCCAGCCAGACGCTGTTCCATTTTCTCTTAGCGTGGCAAGGCGCATCCCCATTCCGTTGCGAGAAGTCGTTCGCAAGGAACTGCAGAAGATGGAACAAGAAGGCGTCATTCGCCGAGTTGACACGCCAACACCATGGTGCGCCGGACTGGTGGTCGTCCCCAAAGCCACAGGCTGTGCGTGGACCT